TTCATTAGGAATGAGTGACCACTTAAAAGCCAGTTTAGGAAAACAAGTTGGAAAATAATATAACTTTCTATTCTAAGATAAGTACTTGCCTAGGAAGTACATAAAACATGAGTACTGATGTTGAGAACAACAATAACCAACCAAAAAGTTGTTCACTGCACATTGTTGCAACTTGCAAACTTGCATCTTAACTGTTAACCTTCTTGTTTTGATGATGATTCACAAACATCATTATTGGTGCTAATTATTTATTGAGCTATATTGTAGATTACAATTCATTAGCACCGTCAATTGGAGGATTGGATGGAATATGAGCTACAACGATGATATCTAAGGTGGTGGAGGCAAAGTGATGAAGCAAACCTTTCAAAAGCACCATATGCATAAGAAGCTTCATCAACTCAAGAGCAAATATCAAGACACAAGCCATGTATTTATATGTGAGGGATATTTGTTATTTTATTTTTCTCTCTAGTACTTAATGTAGGCAAGAAGTTTGTTGATTACATTTGAAACTCATGGGATAACACACTTGCACACTTTCAAAACTCGTATTTTGGTACTTTTGCTAAAATGATGATTTTCACACATACGAGGATCTTTTTGCAAAATTCCTTTTCAAATCAGTTAGTCAATATGTGTATAAATTATTCCCAAAACTTTACATTTTTTTGAATATATTTACTAATTTTAATAAAGCCTTGAAACTCAATTTCAAAATCGATTCAGGCTGATAACCTGTTATTAGTCGACTAGTCAGTCGACTGACGATGTGTCGACTGATGAAAGTGCCTGCAATCATCAAAAAGTTTCTGTTTTGTTTCGATCAACTGACCAGTTGACTGATGATCCATCAGTCGACAGATAGAGGTCGTCAGTCAACTGATAAGCTGGTAATCGTCTACAACAGTCAGCTCATCAGTCAACTGGTTAAAATCGTCAATCGACTGATAAGCAGTCTAACGACTAGTTCTGTACAGAATCTGTTTCTCGGTTTTTGGGAGATTTTTGCTGTTTCTTTAGGGTTTTGGTTGTTGTCTTCTCTCCTTATAAATACCCAACAACCCCAACTACTTCAGATCCAAGTTTTTATTACAAATCTCTTGTGTTTAAGTTTATTGTTTCAAAAAACTTTAGCTTTCATTTGCTTTCACTATTTCAAAGTTCACATCCCAAGCTTCAATTACAATCTCCTCTCTTGCCATATGGCTATTGTAAAGAGAGAGCTTTTCTTCGATTTACTACTGTTGTGAGCTTGATCTCATGGAGATCTACTGTGTAGTTATGAGATCTCAGTGAAGATCATTGTGTAGAAGAAGTTCCGGCTTCCAAACCGGGTGTGTAGTGGATTTCTCCTCGAGAGTGGAGAGCAGGGACGTAGATCAACAGATCGAACCTCGTGAACATACCGCGTGTCATCAATTGGCTAACTATCTCTATCCCTACTCTCTTTTATTGTCATCACATTTCATATTTGTGTGTGCTTTGTTGGAATATCTTTTAATTACATTTTATTTGTCCATAAACCCTATTCACCCCCCTCTAGGACCTTTCAATTGGTATCAGAGCAAGGTCTCTACTGTTTGTTCGGCTTAAACCCCTTAAAGAAAAGATATTAATGGAGGCTTCAATGAATATGCATATGCTAGAAGGACAATCCACCACTAGGCCACCCCTTTTCACCGTAGCAACTTTTCCTATTGGAAAGCTAGGATGAAAATTTATTTACAATGCATTAACCTTGATATCCTAGACATAGTGGAGAAAAAAATATTTCAAGAAGCTTAGTAGTGAAATGACCGAGGATGAGAGGAACTTAGCTAACCTTAATATTAAGGCCATGAATGCACTAATTTGTGGTCTTACCCCCAATGAATATAAGAGAGTTTCTACGTGTGCAACCACACACGAAATTTAGGAGAAGTTATGCATCACTCATGAAGAAACCCCTCAAGTAAAGGAGTCCAATATTAGTGGACTCATGCATGATTATGAACTTTTTAAAATACTTCCAAATGAATCTATCGATTCTATGTTTTCTCGGTTCACTAACATCGTAAATGAATTACATGGTCTTAACAAGGTTTTGGAGAATCAAGAGATGAATTACAAAATTCTTCGTTCTTTGACGCCGGCTTGGGAACCTAAAGCCACGGTCATCGAAGAAGCTCATGACCTCTCAACTCTCACTCTTGATGGACTTATTGGCAAACTCAAGGTCTATGAAAAGAAGATCAAGGAGAAGGAAGAAGCAATCCCAAAAGCAACCGAGGAGCCACCCCAAAAATCAAAATCTATTGCACTCAAGGGAGCAATTGATGATTCATCCTTCTCGGATAGTGAAATTGATGTCTTTAGAGAAGTGACACACCTCTCTAGAAGGATATCAAAATTAATCAAAATGAATAAAACTTTTAAGAATCGGATCTAACAACAAATTTTCTTCTCGTATAGGTAAATTCTTCGAATGCAACGAACCGGGACACTTAGCCAAGGATTGTCCTAAGCTTAAGGAGAAGTATTTAAAGTATAAGAAGAAAAATGCTATGTATGCCGGTTAGGATGAATCCGAACCAAGCGACTCGGATAGTGCTGATGAGGGTGCCAAGATTGCTCTTCATGACCTAAACATTTGTTTCATGGCTCATGAAGATGAGGTACAATCCGAAACCGAAAGTAAATCTCTTTATATGTAATGTGAATTAGAAGTGGTTTTAGAAGAATTAAACTTTGAATTTAAAAGATTAGCAAAAGAATATTCCTCATTCAAAAAATTACATGTTTCTTGTGACTCTAAGTTTGAGCAACTAAAATCCTCTCTTGCTCTAAAAGAAGAAATGATAGGAGATCTAGACTTTGAAAACAAACAACTAAGATCCAAAATTGGGAGATTAGAAATTAAAAATAATAAAGTTAAATCTAATCATGCTTACTCTAGTCATCATCATGTTGATAGAAAATGGTATCATCAATCTTACACTCTTACATATAAGAAAAGGTTTTTGTGCACATATTGCATGAAATATGGTCATATCTCTACTCATTGTAGGATAAAAAATAACATTGATCATTATGAGTTAATGTGGGTACCTAAGGGTACCAAAAATACTAATATTCAAGAACCCAAAGTTTGGATACCTAAAGGTTCTACAACTTCTTCATATGTAGGGAACATCTCACACAAAACGTAAGGACTTGTGGTACCTTGATAGTGGTTACTCACATCACATGACGGGCAATAAGAAACTATTTGTAACCCTATCAAGGATTAAATGAGGTAATGTCTCATTTCGTGGTGGTGAGAAAGGTAAAATTATAGGTATTGGTAATATTGGTAAGATACATTCTCCCATAATTGAGGATATTTATTTTGTTAAAGGACTAAATCACAATCTTCTTAGCATTAGTCAATTAAGTGACAAAGGCTTTGACATTTCTTTTAAACCGGATAAATACAACATTAGTATGAATGATAAAATTATTTTTGTTGCTTTTAGAAGATCTAATGTTTATATTTTTAAGATGAATAAGCTAATAGATCAAGATGTAAAGTGCCTTTCCGCGGTGGATGAGGATTCTTGGATTTGGCACAAGAGACTTGGACATGCTAACATGGAGTTAATATCTAAGTTATTCAAGAAGAACTTAGTAAGAAGGCTACCCAATTTAACATATATCAAGGATTCTACTTGTGAGGAATGTGCTAAAGGTAAACAAACTAAGAACGCCTTCAAATCCATAAATGAGGTATTCACTTCTAAACCTTTATAATTATTGCATCTTGATCTCTTTGGACCCATGCGTGTTGCCTCTCTAGGAGATAAACACTATATTTTTGTTATTGTTGATGATTTCTCACACTCTACATGGGTAATTTTTCTTACAAATAAAGATGAATGTTTTAAAGAATTTTCTTATTTTATAAAAAGAATTAAAAATAAAAAAGATTTGAAAGTCGTTAAAATTAGGAGTGATCATGGTGGTGAATTTTAAAATAAATTCTTTAATGATTTTTACGCTCATCGTGGTATAACACGTGTTTTCCGCTCCTAGAACACCCCAACAAAATGGTGTTGTTGAACGAAAAAATAGAACCATACAAGAGATGACACGCACAATGATAAACTCTTTTGTATTGCCAAAATTTTATTAGGACGAAGCCGTCAATACGGCTTTGTTTTAAATCGTGTTTTGATTAGACCTACTTTCAAGAAATCTCCTTATGAACTTTTTTTTGGCAAAACTCCACATATTGGATATTTTCGTATTTTTGATTGTAAATGTTTTATCTTAAATACTAAAGACCATCATGATAAGTTTGATTCAAAAATTAATATTGGTATATTTTTAGGATATGCATCTAGAAGTAAGGCTTGTAGAGTTTTCAACAAACGAACACTTGTTGTTGAATAATCTATAAATGTTACCTTTGATGAGACTAATATCAGTTTGCAAGATAGGTTGCCTAGGGATGATGATGATATTAAGGAAGGATTGGAGATCTTGCAAATTAATGACAAACCCTCAATAGATGCACAAAAGGATGGGGAAAGCAACAACATACAATCTCAAGAAAAACTCTCCAAGACATAGAAATTTACACTGGATCATCCAAAGGAACAAATAATAGGGAGTCCATCTCAAGGAATTCTAACTCGCTCAAAAGTCTTGAGTGAGTGTGGTAACATAGCCTTCTTATCCCAAATAGAACCTAAACGTATTGATGATGCTTTAAAAGATGAGTTTTGGGTTTTAGCTATGCATGAATTGAATAATTTTTTAAAAAATAATGCTTGAAAATTAGTTCCTAGACTAAATAATACTTTTATTATTGGAACTAAATGAGTTTTTAGAAACAAACTTGATGAACATGGCATAGTAACTAAAAATAAAGCTTGTTTAGTTGCCTAAGGATACAATCAAGAGGGTATAGACTATGATGAAACTTTTGTACCGGTTGTAAGATTAGAATCTATTAGGATATTTTTAGCCTTTGCTAGTTTTAAAGATTTCAAACTATTTTAAATGGATGTTAAAATTATCTTTTTAAATGATTTTATAAAGGAGGAAGTATATGTTGAGCAACCCCCCGGTTTTATGGATCATTCTTTTCCTAATCATGTTTACAGGGTTTAAAAGGCTTAATATGAGTTAAAACAAACTCCTAGAGTTTGGTATGCTTGCCTCTCTAGTTTTCTACTTGAAAATGGTTTTTCTAAAGGAAAAATTGATAATACTCTTTTTGTTAGAAAACAAAAAATGATGTCCTTTTAGTTCAAATTTATGTTAATGATATTATTTTTGGTGCCACTAATGAATCTTTGTACACGGATTTTTTTAAAGTTATGCAAGATCATTTTGAGATGAGCATGATAGGAGAGCTCACCTTCTTTCTTGGCCTCCAAGTTAAACAATCCAATGATGACATATTCGTATCGCAAAGTAAATACACTAGGGAGTTGTTAAAAAAATTCAGGATGGAAAACTCCAAACATGTCCCAACTCTAATGAGCACTACCATCAAATTAGATACGGATGATAGTGGTGAAAAGATAGAGCAAAAGCTATATCGATGTATGATAGGTAGTCTCCTTTACCTCACCGCTAGTACACCGGATATCATGTTTAGTGTTTGTGCATGTGCACGTTTTTAAGCCTCGTCTAAAAAGTCTCATTTGGTTGCGGTTAAAAGAATTATCAAATATGTTAACGGCACAACAAATCTTGGTTTATTTTATCCAAAAAATACTTTTTTTGATCTTTATGGTTTTTGTGATGCTGACTTTACCGATTGTAAGGTAGATCGCAAGAGTACGAATAGTACATGTTAATTTTTGGGTAATACTCTTGTTTCTTGGGCATCCAAAAAATAAAATTGTGTTGTCTTGTCCACTACAGAAGCGGAATACATTACCGTCAGCTTATGTTATGCACAACTTTTATGGATGAAACAAAATTTTATTGAATACGATTTGTATTTTCAAGATACAAAAATCTTTTGTGATAATACTAGTACTATCAATATTTCAAAAAATTCCGTTTAGCATTCTAGAACCAAGCATATAGATGTACACCATCATTTCTTACGTGACCATGTTGAGCGGAAAGATGTGTCCCTCATTTATATTGATACTAAATCTCAATTAGCGGACATCTAGTGAAGAATATTTTTATCGCATAAGAAATGGTTTAGGCATGTGTATTCTTTGACTTTGTTTGTTTGTTCTGATTGTCATTTTCATATCTTACTATTTTCCTTTACGCACTCATTGTCATAACATGTCTAAACACATAAAATTGCCAAGAGGAGTGTTTAGGAGAGACCGGGTCAAATCTAAGAAGAGTGAGTTGGTAGTAATGCCTAAAGAGGTCGTAAATCCAAACACTTGAGGAATGTGACACGGGTAGGCCAATACTTGAGGTGTATTTTGTGGGTTTTTGCATATGTTTTATTTTGTATTGTGTACCCCATTTTTGATGGTGACAAAGGGGGAGAGAAATCTCCTCATTTGTGCACATAGTAAGGAAAAACCTTATAAATAAGCGGAGCAACTATCTATAAACCAAATAATCAATTTTATTTGCTCGTTGAATAATGGTTATCTGTCATCATCAAAAAAAATGGGAGATTGTTAGCCTTCTTGTTTTGATGATGATTCACAAACATCATTATTGGTGCTAATTATTTATTGAGCTATATTGTAGATTACAATTGATTAGCACCATCAATTGGAGGATTGGATGGAATATGAGCTACAACGATAATATCTAAGGAGGTGGAGGCAAAGTGATGAAGCGAAGCTTTCAAAAACACCATATGCATGAGAAACTTTATCAACTCAAGAGCAAATATCAAGACTCAAGCCATGTATTTATATGTGAGGGATATTTGCTATTTTATTTTTCTTTTTAGTACTTAATGTAGGCAAGAAGTTTGTTGATTACATTTGAAGCTCATGGGATAACACACTTGCATAATTTCAAAACTCGTATTTTGGTACTTTTGCTAAAATAATGATTTTCACACATACGAGGATTTTTTTGCAAAATTCCTTTTCAAACAAGTTAGTCAATATGTGTATAAACTATTCCCAAAACTTTACATTTTTTGAATATGTTTACTAATTTTAATAGAGCCTTGAAACTCAATTTCAAAATCGATTCAGGCTGATAACCTGTTATCAGTCGACTGATGGCGTCAGTCGACTGATATGTCGACTGATGAAAGTACCTGCAATCATCAAAAAGTTTCTGTTTTGTTTCGGTCGACGGACCAGTCGACTGATGATCCATTAGTCGACTGATAGAGGTCGTCAGTCGACTGATAAGCTGGTAATCGCCTACAACAGTCATCTCATCAGTCGACTGGTTAAAATAGTCAGTCGACTAATAAGCAGTCTAACGGCTAGTTCTGTACAAAATCTGTTTCTAGGTTTTTGGGAGATTTTTGCTGTTTCTTTGGGGTTTTGGCTGTTGTCTTTTCTCCTTATAAATACCCAACAACCCCAACTACTTTAGATCCAAGTTTTTATTACAAATCTCTTATGTTTAAGTTTATTGTTTCAAAGAGCTTCAACTTTCATTTGCTTTTACTATTTCAAAGCCCACATCCCAAGCTTCAATTGCAATCTCCTCTCTTGCCATAGGGCTATTGTAAAGAGAGAGTTTTTTTTTGATTTACTACTGTTAAGAGCTTGATCTCGTGGAGATCTACTGTGTGGTTGTGAGATCTCGGTGGAGATCATTGTGTAGAAGAAGTTCTGGCTTCCAAACCGGGTGTGTAGTGAATTTCTCCTCGAGAGTGGGGAGCGGGGACGTAGGTCAGCGGACCGAACCTCGTGAACATACCGCGTGTCATCAATTGGCTAACTATCTCTATCCCTACTTTCTTTTATTGTCATCGCATTTCATATTTGTGTGAAATTGAACAAACTAAAAAAATACAAATCTCCAATGTTGTGCTGAAACTCCTTTAAACAAATGGGAATCATGATAATGAGTAAGCCAGAAGTGATATTTAGGTTGAATGCAGTCAGTTACAAAGTTGATTATGTAGGACATATCCATGCGATATAGCATGATAATTGAGAAAAAAGGTAACAAGGGCAACTGAAGTTTAGTACTTATTTGGAATCAATATTAATTGATCTAAAGGATGATATTGAGTCCTACAAATACAAGTTATGTTGAAACAATCAATAGCACTCAATCAAGGTGCAGGCAACCTCCAAGTGTAATTTAATTTCAAGAAGTTGCAAGTTGCTAGGCTGTATCCTTCCGCGGTGTGCATGAACATTTTTTACACTAAAATGGAAAATGCATAGACTAGTACAGAAAGAAAATGAACTGTTTCTACTTGTATCAATTCATACTGTAACAATAATGCTGTCATCCTCATTATCTAGGGGTTGGTCCCCAGAATCAGGATCAACAATTGCTAGCCTTTGATGCGCTAGAAAGAAATCTTCATTTTGGTACAGTCTGCTCCAATCAGGACCTCGATGCTTTAATCTGTCTCAGAAAAACACATCTGCTTAATCTTATCTATAATTCTTCAATATCTCATAGAAATAGAAACATACTTTAGTACAAACTCAATTTAGGATCTCCTATCAGATTTAAAATATCACTTTTCTTAAAGAACATGGGCGGAATTACGTAATTTACAATATTTCTGAATAGTACTGATCGCAAATAAACCAACATTCTTCTAGAAGGTTAGAACTTCAAAGTTGCTTCTTTTGTTGCAGTATTGGATTAACCCATTTCATTTTACATGGCAAGAAATCAAACATTTTTAGTACTTATTTGGAATCAAAACTAATTGTTCTTAAGGATGATATTGAGTCACATATACTCAAATGGCCTTCTTATCTCCCTCACCCTATGCTTGCATATTCATTCGTCGAAAACTTCAAATATGCAATTCTTGGAAAATTTGTTAGACTAAAAAAGATGGATATACATGCATGATAACTTGTATGTTGCTCCACATCTCCATGACCCTAGAAATGTTTGTTCTATTATTTCATTGTATTTACGTACCGGAACATAAAATGCACAGTATCGTACATGAAAGATCATTTTTTGACTGACTTCATCAATTTGACTGAATGGCTCATTGCTAATAGAAGTGGAAGACTCTCATCTAGCAAAATACCAAGGTAGGGCCTTTTAGTAGTAATAATATCCAGATCTCATGAGATTACATATATGACAGCTGTCATGATCAAACTAAGGTGCAGGACCATTTGATTCTATAAGGAGGACACTAACCTTTGGCTCAAAATGTATACTACCATAACTCCAAGATTTATCAGTGTCATCATCAACTATAATGCCAAAAAGAAAGAGTACTAAAAGCGTGCTAGAAGTTGAAACGCTTCAACTAATGGACCCCTTTTTTTTCATGGACATCCTTCCATGATAAATTTTATTTTAGAGTTAAATAGATATCTTATTTCAACTTTACCATTGCACGTGCAATTTCACCGGGCCAGAAAAAAGTGGTGGGGGTGGTGGTGGCGAATTCGGAATATCTTTCTGTACATCATGGCCTAATAGCTAGCAATCAAAATTAGTAAAAAATTACTGCTAATATCAACTACGAAAACCATCAACTTCATTTTGCTGAGAATTCTTCAGGAAACTAAAACAGAGGGATAGGGTTAGATGACTGCCTGCGCGAGAGTTCGAGAACTCGAGCCCTCTTAGCCTGCGAATCATCAGAGCAGCCCAGCACCGCCAGAATCCCACACATGTTTCCGTGACCAAAATTCTCTGAACAAAAAAAGAAGAACAAAAATCTCAAGAATAATCCTCAGAAACAGAGAAAGACTTAGCAGCTGCAAGTTTTAGTGTACTCTTTCATAGCTCCCCACGTCCCAAATCCCTCAATCAATCAAGCAAGCAGCCAAAAGATGCCGCATTTCGTTGAGAGCATTTAGCGCCACGTAACTGAAAACCAAAGTAGACACCTTTGGAGTTTGGATGAGAGAGAGGGGGAAGGAGACGATTTCTGTGATTAAAAGAGGACTCCATTTTCCAATGCTCATGTCATGCGCATTAATACAAAAGGAAAATTTGCTTCTGGCCCCCAAAATAACTACTACTATTCTACCTTCACTCAAGACTTAACGACACTCCCAAATCCCCAAGCAAAGCCATAATTCTCTGCTCTTAGGGGGTGTTTGGTTCAATTTCTAGAAATTATAGGAAATGTTTTCCACGTAAAATATGATTTTCTTGTATTTCTTAAAAAAATTATAGGAAAAGTTTTAAGAAATCAAAAAGTATCAATTTTCTTGTTTTTTGTACTTTGCTTGTTTGGTTCAAAACAAGAAAATAGCTCATAACTTTATAGAAAATAACAAGATTTGGTAGGTTTTTAATTAAATATGGTATGTGTCAGATTTCTGGTGATTTCCTCTCATTTTGAGAGGAAATTGCTTTTTGTAAAACTTGGCAGGTTTTGATATTTTATAGAAAATATTTCTGTAAATTTTTTGTTGAACAAAACACAATTTACAGAAATCTCTGGAAAACTCTTAATTACAAATTTGCCATTGTCAGATGTTTTGAGAAAAAATTTCTCAAAAAGTGTGCAACCAAACAGCCCCTTAAAACACAAAACCCAAAAGTTTAAAATATATAAAGACCATAATATCCTTTCTCTCTCTTTTTTCATGATGTCACTATGATGATTTGAAATGGATTTTTTTTAAATTTTTTTTTTTGGGGGTGGGGGGGGATAGGTTTTGGGGAGGGGGGATTCTAGTTCCCTCTAAAATTTTCCAACAACGTCGACATCAGCGATGAAACTTTTTCGGCGTTAGTTCATGAGGCGAAGAAAACTGCGATCTTGAAGAAGATGATGACGAGTTGTGATGGATTCAGTATCGACGTTCCAAAGAAAAAGGCGAGAACTCCGATGACTACCAGTGTAATTTTTCCCCTTTTTTAAAATTGTACTTGAATCTGAGTGCTATATTTTTTTTTTACTATTTTACATATTGTTGTAATTATTTTGAAATCGATGACATGAGATTAAAACAGAGTCTGTAAATTTATATATTATTGTTAATTTACTTTAATGAGTTTATTGTTAATGTTATGAGTTGGTTGTAAAGAAATGTTACAAGTTGGTTTTGAAGGTTTCGAGTTGGTTGTTAAGGTTATGATTTCGTTGTGAAGGTTACGAGTTGATTGTCAAGATTACGAATTGGTTGTGAAGGTTACGAGTTGGTTGTGAACCTCGGTAATGAGTTGGTTGTGAAGGTTAGGAGTTGGTTGTGAAGGTTAATTAACAACAATCACAATCAACTCATTGTCGAGGTTCACAACCAAGTCGTAACCTTCACAACAAACTCATAACCTTGACAACCAACGCTTAACCTTGACAACCAACTGGTAACATTGACAACCAACTCGTAACCTTCCTTCACAACCAATTTGTGACATTAACAACAAACTCATTATAGTAAAATAATAAAAATATGTAAATTTATAGACTCTACTTTAATTTCAAGTCTTCAATTTTAAAAAAATTTATAACAATATGTAAAATAAAGCAGAGTATGTAAATTTATATATTATTGTAATTTTTTTTAAAATTCGATGACTTAAAATTAATGCAGAGTCTGTAAATTTACATATTTTTATTATTTTACTATAATGAGTTTGTTGTTAAGGTTATAAATTGGTTGTGAAGGAAGGTTACGAATTGGTTGTTAAGGTTACCAGTTAGTTGTCAATGTTACGAGTTGGTTGTTAATGTTACAAGTTGATTGTCAATGTTACGAGTTGGTTGTGAAGGTTACGCGCTGGCTGTGAAGGTTACGCATTGGTTATGAAGGTTATGAGTTTGTTGTGAAAGTTACGAGTTGGTTGTGAACATTAGCAATGAGTTGATTGTGATTGTTGTTAACTAACATTCACAACCAACTCCTAACATTCACAACCAACTTATTACCGAGGTTCACAACCAAATTGTAACCTTAACAACAAACTCATAATGGTTGTGAACCTCGGTAATGAGTTGGTTGTGAAGGTTAGTTAACAACAATCAAAATCAACTCATTGCCGAGGTTCATAACCAACTCATAACCTTCACAAACAACTCGTAACATTCACAACAAATTCATAACCTTCACAACCAACACGTAACCTTCACAACCAACTCGTAACCTTGACAACAACTCGTGTCTTTCACAACCAGCTTGTAACACTGACAACCAATTCGTAACCTTGACAATAAACTCGTAACCTTGACAACTAACTCGCAGCCTTTCTTCACAATCAATTCATAACCTTAACAACAAACTCATTATAGTAAAATAACAATAATATGTAAATTTACAGACTCTGCTTTAATCTCAAGTCATTGATTTTTAAAAAATTACAAGAATATGTAAAATAATAAAAAATATAGCACTCAGATTCAAGTACAAGTTAAAAAAAGGAAAACATTATACCGGGAGTTGCCAGAGTTCTCACCTTTTTCTTCGGAACGGCGACGCTGAATCCATCACAACTCGTCATCACTATCTTCAAGATCGTAGTTTTCTTCGCCTCATGTGCGAACACCAGGAAAGTTCCATCGCCAATGTCGACGCCGTTGGAAAATTTTAGTGGGAACTAGAGGTTTTCCCCCAAAACCCATTTCAAATCATCACAGTGACATCATAAAAAAAGGGAGAGAGAGGGGGGGGGGGGGGGGGGGGGGGGNAGAGAGAGAGAGAGAGAGAGAGAGAGAGAGAGAGAGAGAGAGAGAGATAGATAGATAGATAGATATGGTATTATGATCTTCACATGTTTTTTAACTCTTGGGTTTTGTATTTTGGGGACTAATGGAATTGTGGCTTTGCTTTTGGGTGTATTGGGAGTGATGAAGAAGTCTTGAGTGGAAAAAGAATAGTTGTTGTTATTTTTGAGGCTAGAAGTAATTTTCCCTTAATACAAGCGAGCTACGCGCATAAATACGAAGCATCAAATTTATACAACCGGTGTAGGCCCTGCATCATGGGAAGTGACAAAATAAGGGATAGGGGCACAAAAGATTTGAATTCAAGTCTTCTTTTATTCTTGTCGAATCTCTCATTTATCTTCTCTTTCATCTTTTTTTTAATTATAATTTTATGGTAAAGGTTTAAGTTTTGATTTTACATAAACTATATATTTTGTAGATCAAAATGGCATTAGTTTAAGGATTTGATTTAAAATTACATTATATAATTAACTATTCAGAGAAAGCATAACATGTTACACCAAAACTATACCGACATACACCGCATATCAAACTGTTCAAATTTATTTAGTTTGAAATTGATTTGATTAAATATTTAGGCCTAAGATTGGTTTTGGAGGTGAGTGAGTATAAAACTAAACGAGGCTAAAAGTTTAGTTTATGCGCAATTTTTTTTTGGAAATAGATGAATTTAAAATTCTGGTAGTAGTTGGGTTCAATAATGAATGTTGTAAAGTTTTGGGTTAACAGGCAGAAAAAAACGACTTTAAAAGTGGGTGTACAAAAAACAATTAGGGTAAAATTTTGGGTTTTATGAAAAAAGTCAAAAAGTTTTTTTTTGACAAAACCTGAGGCTAAGGTTTGCACTCAATACCCTTTGCGTTTGCTCTCAAAGTAATTCCACCGGGACGCATCGTATGCCAGACCATAATACAATAAATTCATAATAATTAAATATAGGGTTTTTCTATAGAGTGCCCATGGGCACTCTATAAGAGAGGAGAGAGATAGAAAGAGATGATTAGGGAGGGGATCTCAATGCAAATCAGGTGGGCCCCCTCCTCAATCATATCTCTCTATCTCTCTCCTCTTCTATAGAGTGCCATTGGGCACTCTATAGAAAAACCCTTAAATATATCAGCTATAGCTAATCATTATTCATCCATCAACTTTTTATGTGTGTACACACTATAAATTGATAAATTGTGTGCTATGCTAGACATGATTCTTATAATAAGCGAATATAAGGGTCTGTTTGGTTGATTTCCTAAAAACCAAGAAATGGAAATGAAAAGGTGAAAATCTCAAAAAGTGCAATTTCATCCATTTCCATTCCTAAAACTCACCAATAACATTCAATAAAATATTATTTTCATCCAACAACTCATCCATAACATCTAATAAAATATTATTTTTATCCAACAACTCATCCACCACATCTAATAAAATATTATTTTTATCCACAACATCACCAAACTTGTTGATGCTCGTGAACAAACAGTCGATGGGGGTTGCAGAGTTGCTGGATCGTCGAGGGGGATGGAGGGCCGCTTTCCTTCTTCGACTTTATGCCTGGTTCTCAGAGCTCGGGGTGGGCGGATCACCTGCACACATAAGAACCGTGGGAGTACTGGGCTTGTTTCCCCCGTGGTACCTCCGATGATCAAGTAAGCTAGGGTACTTGGTCCAGTTAATAGAGGAATAGTATCCCCCTCTAATATGTAACTAGAGAATTTTTTTAGGTAGTGATGGAGAGACCGAACCTCTTTTTAGGATGAATAGCGTCTGTATTTATAGAGGATGCCAAGGGCAGAACATGTATTTAGTGAGGAGGTGGTAACTGTGGACGGCGAGAGGTGAGATGGAGGATGAGTCATCCTCTGCCATATTCATGTCGATTGATGAGTGATGGCGGTGTCACTTTGAGCGACATGGGGAATCACACCAGTTGAGCTTGTGTCAGCGGTTGATGTGGAGTCACTTCTGTGGCATGGGGAATCAGCAGCCGTTGAGGCTTGTCTGCGGGTGACGTGGAGTCACTTCTGTGGCATGGGGAATCAGCAGCCGTTGAGGTTTGTCTTCGGGTGACGTGGAGTCGTAATGATGACCATAGATGGTAAAATAATGCTGGGAAGTAATGTTCTAAGTCGCCTCCAGGGGAAGTGTCGGCCTGTTGCTGAGCAGTAATTTTTCCACCCGACTGAGTTCGTCTTTCGAGTCGTCTTTAGGGAGCGACGCCAGCTCGACTGGGTCCATTCTCAGGATAACATATTTGTAAGTAACAGGGAACACTCCATAACAGTTAGCCTCTTTCGCTTGGATGTGGCTGTGGCCAGATGCAAGGAAAAAATAACTGAACAGAGACTAGGTAGAATTGATTCTGACAGCGAAGTGGCGCTCCTTCTGGACACTTGGACGCTTGACGTCATCAGACATCACTGAGGCTGCCTAGGTTGTTCTCTTGTCAGGTCACGGTTTTCTCAAGAGAAGAAGGCGAAATGTCATTCGACGGCATTTTAAATTCCAAGGCTAGGTTTTAGCCGTGGGATGAAATAGGCTCCAACGGCTTAGATGTGATGATAGCTGTAAAGTAGGAGACCATATATTGTCGTTTGAAATTCTTATATGATCTAACTACTCTCCTTCCTCACCTTCTTCTAATTTTGTCGTTCTTGCCGATTGTCCCCTAGTCTCTCTATGGATCTGGAAGAGGTGCCTCGTCGGGAATACTTGGAGATCATCCATTCAAAAGTGACCTCGGCCCAACTGAAGACAATGTCTGCGAAGTTTGACATCCCTAAGGAATATAAGTTTTCCCTCTCGAAGGAAGCGGAAGCCATTTATGACCATGGGCCGGGGCGGCACCCGCTCTATCTAAACCACTTAGAGTGTGGCCTGAGATTGCCTTTGCCTTCGTTTTTGAAGCAATTGTTCGAGGATTTAGGGGTTTCGCCGGCACAAATGAAGCCGAACGCCATAGCCATCACTGTGGCTTTCGTGGTTATATGCAGTTGGTTGGGCATCAAACCCACGGCAAAGCTTTTTGCTTATTTCGTGGTTGTAAAAACAAGTCAGAAGGAGCCCCACTATTACTTTCAGATGTCGGGGTCCTCCAAGTTGATCGTAGACCTTCCAGATTCTCATAAGGAATGGAAGGAGAAGTTTGTGTGGGTGACCGGGGAGGATTTAGAGATGGTTTGCTCTGATTGGCCTGAGATTAGGAGGAATGCACTCATCAAGATGGCGTTATCCAAGGAAGAAAAGGTCGATCTTGAGTTGATCAAGAAGTTCGCAGGCTCTCGTTGCTTTGAGGTTTTGCTGGATAAGTCCGTTTTACGAATGACCGCGGTCTCGATCATGCCGATTACTACTTTTGATATAGATAGAGCTGTTGCCCTCATCATCGGGTCAGTAGGAGCCATTGCGACGCCCCAAGTCAGGTTAATTGATCCTCAGGAGGAATCTTTTACCAGGCCAGTCTGAAGATGATAAATTTTTCCCTCCGGCCTTTCTTGACAAAGAGACTTCAATTCTTGGGTCCCTTTCGGCTCCTATTACGGCCGTGCAACAATTCTCCCTGTCAAAAGACAATCAGGTTTTAAGGAGGATGTCAAGCTTCGGTTTACATTTAGCCCTCAAGGCTTATTTAGTCCGAGGGGCCTTAGTGGAGCAGGAATTGTATGAGCGGCTCGCCCATATGCACGACGCTTCGCAGGAATGGGAGTCTGAGCTGATGAAGGATAAGATTCGCCCATATGCACGACGCTTCGCAGGAATGGGAGTCTGAGCTGATGAAGGATAAGATGGCCAGGGAAGAGGCCGAGGGGAGAGTCGTCACTCTTGAGGCCCAGGTGGAGAACATCAAAACTAGCTGGCGCCAAGAAGTGGATGCTAGAGAACGAGTTTTGGAGGGGCTTCGCACCGAGGGATGTAAGCAAGCCTCCCTAATCATGGAATTTAGAGGTGAGGTGGCTAGTCAGAGGAGGGAGATCAATTGTCTTCAGAGAGATGTCATCGATCGGGATGAGAAACTAGCTACTTTGGTGGGGGGAGGTTGATTCTAAAAGGGCCCTTAGAGTGGCCGTCGAAGAGGTCGTTCAGTCGAGCCACCTCTCAATCGAGCAACTGAGGTGGAATCTCGAGGAAACGCAGTTGGCGCAACATAGGGTGAAGGTAATTGAAGACTGGCGCCATAGCCCCATTGGAAAACTCAAAGTAGCTTTGGCGTGCAAAGCCGAGGTTGATTATTTCGTTGTTCTAGTACCCTCCAGCTCACATCCTCCTTCTGGGAGCTTTTATCCCCTGCAAGTCTCTTGTTGTCTCAATCTTCTTAGGGATTTCGAGGCGAGAGAAGGAAAATTGCTGTTAGGTGGTGAAAGCGAGTTCTCAGAGGGCGCAAATGAGGAAACAACAACTGTCCTTCCACTGGTGGGAACGTTCAGGGCCAAGAGGGTCCGGCCTTCGCCGATACGGCCGCTCCACCTCCAGAGGATCTCGTAGGTCAAGAAAAATGAGAATTAGTTATATTCCCTTTCCCTCCCCTTTTCTCTCTTTCTCTTTTTTTTTTCATTATAACTGTACTTTTGACTTTGTAAAGGGGTTAATGAAGAAGTAGGTTCGTTTTGAGTGTTTAAAAACTCTTAAAGATTTTTCTTTTATTTTTTCTTAATCGAAGGGTGATACAGGGATCGACCCCGAGGTTGTGCCTAGACCTAAGAGAGTCGGTTAGGTCTTACCTTTCCCCTAAGGCCGAGAGGCGACTGTGGGAGTCGGCTAAAGAGTTGTGCCTTGGTCTTACCCTAAGAAAGTACCAATGACTTTTCATCGACTGAGGAGTCGGGTGCCTAGCTGACTAGGTTTTTCATTTTCCCCTAGGGCCGAGAGGTGACTGTGGGAGTCGGCCAAAGGGTTATGCCTTGGTATTACCCTAAGGAAGTACCAATGATTTTTTATCGACTGAGGAGTCGGGTGCCTAGCTGACTAGGTCTTCCATTTCCCCCTAGGGCCGAGAGGCGACTATGGGAGTCAGCCAAAGGGTTGTGCCTTGGTCTTACCTTGAGGAAGTACCAAGGACTTTTCATCGACTGAGGAGTCGAGTGCCTAGCTGATTAGGTCTTCTATTTTCCCCTAGGGTCGAGAGGCGGCTGTAGGAGTCGGCAAAATGGTTGTGCCTTGGTCTTACCCTGAGGAAGTTCCAAGGACTTTTCATCGAGTAAGGAGTCGGGTGCCTAGCTGACTAGGTCTTTCATTTTCCCCTAAGGCCGAGAGGTGACCGTGGGAGTTGGTCGAAGGGTTGTACCTTGATCTTACCCTGAGGAAGTACCAAGAACTTTTCATCGACTGAGGAGTCGGGTGCCTAGCTGACGAGGTCTTCCATTTTTAAGTTGTTATGATAACGCAAAAAGTTTGGCTAAAGTTGTTTTATCAGATATATTACTAATTACCTAAGGCATGCATTCTTCACATGGAATTTTCAAAACAAAGAAGTTAAACTGGAATTTTTAAAGGAAATATCTTCGTAGGTGTTCACTGTTCCATGGGTGACTGAAGATTCACCCATCTGGACCTCTCAGCCGATAAGTGCCGGCTCTTAGCTCTACCGTAACCGTATAAGGTCCTTCCCAATTTGGAGCCAGCTTACCTTGCCAAGTATCTTTATCGAATGTCACTTTTCGGAGGATAAGGTCCCCAGCCATGAACCTTCTGGGTCGAATCTTCTTATTGTAATGTTGAGCGATCCGTTGTTGATTAATGACCTGAGTACGAAGTGCTTTCTCCCTTGTTTCTTCAAGAAGGTCGAGGCTGACCCGGAGGCCTAGTGAATTCAGGTCTTTGTTGAAGTGCTGCAACCAAATAGTCGGCATGCCCACTTCAATTGGCATTACTGCTTCAGCTCCATACGTTAGCCTGAAAGGGGTTTCCCCCGTTGAAAACTGTTGATGGATCTCTTCTCCAGAGCATTTACACCAGAGCTTAGCACTTCCTTTGAGAGTGATAGGGAAGCATCGATATAGAACTGCTTCGGATACTTGAAGCATGCTCATTATATCAAAATAATTTTTAACATGCTCCGAAGGATCTCCCTCGCCTGAGTACGTCTCTAGGTGAGGCATCTTAAATTTCTCAAACGAGAATTCCATTATCTCGTCAGATAACGAAGTATTTCCTTCGATAGTATCAAAAATTGGTTTGTACCCTCGGTCGTAGCCGGAGGCCCTTGCAGTGGTTGACGAAGTTGAGGAGTCTTGGCGGTGGGGTTTTCTGAGAATCTTTCCTTTGGCACGTTCCCCCGAATGGCTAGGACCGGGGTTTTTATCATCATTGTTTAGTTGCTTGGGGTGGTTTTCCGCCCGTTAGTGGTGGTTGGGAGGAGGTCGCGGTGTGTCCCGCGACACTTCATGGGTGTGAGTTTCCGATCGTCGGTCTTCAAGTGGTAGGAGTTGTTCTTCGGCGTGTGACTGCCGCGGGATTCGCCAGAGGAGTTCATTGGTCAGGACGGTAAACTGCTCTCTTAGAGATGAAGAGAGTCCGTCTACCGTCTGCTCCAATTTACCATGGGTCACATAGTTTGGAGGTCCCCTTATAGGATATTGGTTCACTCCTCGCTCAAAACTCGACATTTCTTCTCAAAAAGAGGAAAGTGGCCCCATGGTGGGCGCCAAACTGTTGATGCTCGTGAATAAATAGTCGATGGGGGTTGCAGAGTTGCTGGATCGTCGAGGGGGATGGAGGGCCGCTTTCATTCTTCGACTTTATGCCTGGTTCTAATAGCTTGGGGTGGGCGGATCACCTGCACACATTGTAGGCATCTAAAATTACCTACAAGGTCCCGTACATAGCTCGAAATGAAGAGTGGATGCATCAAGAAGGATTATCCAATTGGCTGCTGTGCACATCAGTCAACGCGCGTTAATCAGCTCGCACGCGTCAAGCAGCTCGCACGCGTCAATCAACTCGCACGCGTCGATCAACTCCAAGCGACCGAATGTACTCGTTAGTCAACTTGCGCTCATCGGTCAGATCAAAAGTGCCCGACGTGCTTATCGGTCAGTTCCAAGTGCCATAAAGAAGCTAACGAGTGTATGAAGCAAGTTAGCAAATCGTACAAGTCAACAAGATGGTCAAATACGTAAAACAGTAGAAAATACAAGTCTCGGAAAAGTTAGAAAACACCAAACAGTTCAGCAAAAAAAAGCCAAACTCCTGCGTCCGCGCGGGTGGAACCGCCCCGACCCATGCCCGTGCGGGTCAGACCGCGCCGACCCACGCCCCCCCGCGTGTCAGCAGCGCCCGTCGCGCTGTTTTGACCCCTTGTCGCGTTTTGGACGGTTTTGAACGGTTTTCTTGGGATTTATCTGTTCCAGGGTTTTCTAACTGCCTAAATATCATCTACAAACGTGGTTAGGCCGTTATTAACTGAAGATAAGGCCAAATCACTCTTTCTTGTCCGAAAACCCTCCAACCGAAGCATATAAATACAAGCCTAAGGGCTCAATTCACAGGAGGGCGGATTATTATCAAGAGGGCGAGGTGCTGCCGGATTGAGGAGTCAAAGGAGCATGAATTGACAACGAATACAGGTCAGATCCCGACGAAGTTTAGCATAAAGAGGAAGGTTTTCGAAGGATCTGAACCCGTATCTTCCCCCATCCGTTCGTTCCTCAGGATTAGGCTTGATCTTAATCTCGAGAAGAGCTACTGATTTCGCTTGGTCGATTTCAGCGCTTCAAGCGAATACTTCCTTGGTAAGATAGGAGCTCTGTTAATTTTCTGTCAACCGGATCTGATCCGTAGGCGGTCCACGGATATTGACGTCCCGAGCACAGGCAAAGATCTCGCACAAGCAGAAGACCGAAAAACGATCTCTCTGCGTTTGTTTGATAAAGTTGTAAACTTTTTTTATTTTTATTGTGTAAGGAGATCTTATAAAAAGATCAACTTTTTATTTTATTCGAGTTTATTGTAACGACCAAAGTTGTAATAGATTCGATAGCAATGAAAACAGCAACTTTTGAACCAAACAAACTGGCGACTATAGTGGGAGCCAACATCTTCTCTGCAGAAGCTGTCGTGCCGCAACCACGGATCCGTATCCCGGTTGAAGAAGAGGTTGAGTACGAGTTTGACCAACAAAAGTTCGAGGAATATCCGTCTTCCTCCTCCTCCAAATCCTCCTCCACTCGCAAGCGCAGAAAGATCAACGCCCCCATTGCTATGGTAGCTGCACCTTACAACGCCCCTCCGGCCTCCAACGAGGCCGGATCTACAGATCTGGACTCCTCCTTAACCAAGCAACGTCAACGCCTCGTACGCCAATTTACCAAGGCTTTGGAGCCTTTTGACGGGGTCTGCTACGATGCAGATCTGAAACTTAGAAGGTGCTAATAGTTCCAGCAGCGAGCAAACACCCCCTCCTCCAAACCATCAACGAGTGAATGGATCCAAGTCAAAAGGACCCGTTCAACCCTTAAGGAGCGCATTCAGAAACGCCACGTATTACTTGCGCACGCAAGAATCTTTATGCAAGAAACCAAAAAGTTACAGAAGGAAGAAGTGGAAAAGAAGCCACAAAGACTGCATGAAGTATGAAGGCCAAAGTCCATGACGGCGGCCGAAAAGATCGAAAAATGCGGGTCACCCAGATCTGACCCTCCAGCCCACGGGACACTCAGATCCGATCCTCCAACCCGCGGGACACTCAGATCTGACCCTCTAACCTGTGGGTTACCCAAATCCGACCCTCCAAGCCGCGTGTCACCCAAATCCGACCCTCCAATCCGCGGGTCACTCAAGTCTGACCAGCGTCAGGGTTAAGACAGAAGACGTTCTGCACCTGTTTTGTTGATCCCTTTGAGTTCCGCACCTTCGGTGGAGCATCGCGACAGCGTGGATTTGTCCCGATTTAAGATGAAGATCACGGATCGTCTTGGTCCTTCGCACGTGGGTCGAGATAAAGCCCTGGTTAAAGAGCGCTTAGGCCCGTTGAATGAGTCCCAAGCAGTTCATCAGGCTGGGGGTCATAATAGCCCTCCTAAGCAGTGGAAGAGACCGCATGGTAGGAAAATTCCCATAACCGACCACATGGGATTGTGTGTTGAAATCCAGGAGCCCGTTGAGTTCTCACGCTCACGAGAGCGTAGATCTAAACATGTGACTCTTGAACACACTGACAGCGTGTTATGTCCCTAGAAAAAATGTATTCGTCTGACGATGACGACGTTACACCTAAGGATTCGTGCCAACACGTGATGGATTGCTCCGGTCATCAAACCGACGAGTTATACCATCGGGCTGGTGGTACGAACAAGTCTCGAAAAAGAAGTACCCGGGAAATGGATTATCACTGTCCATGTGCCAAACTTATCAGGGCAGTATTATCAGAATGTAGCTGCCCCAAGACCGCTTCACAGAGGGTCTCGGTATTCGAGAGGATCTCTAACGGAATGGCTAAGTCCAAACCAAAGCGTCTCCGAAAGAAGCGATCGACTGTTCATGGTGACGAACTTCCATAAGTCACAATTAACATGGCTGATAAGGAAAAGTCGATTCGACTTTCTAGTTCTGACCCCCTCGTATCGCATCGTTTGACTCACCACTAGACGTAGGGACTACCAGAGAATGCATAGAGGGTTATCCTCGAATGATGAAACATCGGATCCTAACTCGACAATCGCTTCTGATAATACGGTGTCCAGTCCGTGATAATCCCACGAAGTGTTTATGATTAACACCGAGGAAGTAGTCAAAATGGTTGCGGATGCTCTAGCCAAGCAGAAGCAAGCATTCAAGTTTGAAATGGAAATGGCTATGCTATGGATGAGGAAAGTGCATGACCAAAAAATTCGGGCTTTGTCCAATCAGTTCGGTGAATCCAGCCGTCGTAACCTTACTGACCAAGCATGTAGCGATTCAGATGTGGATGAACGTCTCAATGCTGAGAACCCTCCTGTTGACCAGAACACTGGGGGTGGCCCCACTGAAAACAACAACACCGGGGGTGGTCCCGCCAATAATGACAACACTGGGGGTGGCCCTGTTGTTCCTCTCACAAATCGTCCGAAGCATGATACAGACGAGGACGAAAAGATGAAGGACCTCGAGAGCAAAATCAACGCTCTAATGTCTAATCGAGAGGTAAAGAACACCGGGATTCCGTGTCCTTATCCGAGAGAGTGGGATTCGATCCCGTATCCGGCGAAGTTCAACCTGATCAACTTCACGCCGTTCAACGGGAAGGGTTCGTCCACTCAGCATTTGATCTACTTTAAGTCCCACTTGGGCATGATCTCCGGCAATGAAGCCTTGATGGTTCGGTCATTCGTTGGTACCCTTCGCGGGCCGACCTTCGATTGGTACCACCGTCCCAAGCCCGGAAGTATTAACAGCTGGGACGACCTGGAGAACCTGTTCCTCGCTCACTTCTTTGATGATGATGCCGAGGTGTCAATCAGGACACTCTTTGATGAGAAGCAAGAAGACGACGAGACGGTCGACGACTTTGTCAAACGCTTCCGGAATAAGGCGATGAACTGCCGAGATCCGATCACAGAGAACTTCATCCTCCAAACCTGCCACAACAACATCTCTTTGGACGTGTTGGAAGTTATGAGAGTAGCATCGTCCGACACCTGGAAAGAATTGAAAGTGCGCGGAGAGCAGGCCGAATACTTCCTCAGAAGGAAGAAAGCCGAGAGAAGCCAACCGACGTCTAACCCTCCAAATTTAAGTTTCGTCTCCCGTGGTAAAGGGAAGGCCCCTGCAGCTGCTGTTAATGCTAATTAGATATTGTAACAACAACCCCGAAGACAGTAAAAGACTTTGGATTCAAGACTCAAAAAAGAATACTCTTTCAAGGACGAAGACGTTCCAGCTATTTTCGAGTCCCTCATTGAGAACAACAAGATCAAGCTTCCACCTATCACAAATCAGGAGGAAGCTGATAATACTTCGGATCCAAAATACTGTGCGTACCACAGGAGGATCCTTCATCCTACCAAGGCTTGCTTCACTCTCAAGAATAACATCCAAACCTTGGTTGAAGCCGACGTCATAACGCTTAATTAAGTTGAATGAAGGCTCCGACAAGTATAAGAGTATAAACTACTCCTTCTGACACTCTGAAGAGTATACGAGTATAAAC